TAGATAAATAGGTACCACTCTGGCGGGAAGGTAAACGGCGTTTCCATGCGCTGCTCTGGTTTGCCAGAAGCGGCTTAGTCATGCTGGCCACATGACCCGGAAGCTGTACGCTGGCTCCCTCGGCCAATAAAGCAAGATGAGCGCCGCAACCCCAGAGTCGGTCACGACTGGACCTAATAGTCAGGGGTCCCTTTACTTTTACCTTTAGGGCAAATACAGGAAGTTTCAAGGAAATCTCTGGCAAGGGTTTGGTTTTTGGAATGAGCAACAGCTCAGTGATTCTAGCCACAGTTCAGGGACAGCAGCAAGTCGCCTCAAGGACTCGTGCAAAGGAGAGACCCTCAGGCTTGTGGTTCGCCATCATTCCCTACGAAAATTCAACCAGATTTCTCATTGAAAAGCAGATTCCTTCTATGCCACGTTTGTGTTACAGCTGTGATGAGGACCTATTGGCAAGGCTCTGTGACGTCAACAATACACCTCCCAAACCAGTCTGCAAAAGGAAGGTGTGTGGTGGCCTGTGTGTGATTCAAAACAAAGGATAGAAATATATATACGTACTACGGAACTGCTCAGCATAACAAACGCCATGTCCGCACAACTTGCATTTAAAGCATATGGCTTCCCCAAAGAATCCAGGTTGCTGTGGTTGACTCCTCATTGAGCTACAATTCCCAGCACCCTTGACAAACTAGAGTTCCCAGGATTTCCATGTGGTGAGCATGTTGCCAAAGATTCAAGGGCTACAGTTCTAGAACAACCACGGCCTGCACTGCTTAAAAGCTGGGAGAGTCGTCCTTAACTTCAGCAATGTTAAGCGGCGAAACAAACACACATAAGGAATGTTGGTCTTGGACACTTTTCTCAGTGTTGATATATCACTTTTCTACGTGCAAAGTACACTCCAGCATCGCAGCCAAAGCTTCTCTCTGGGCAAAATCCCACAGCCAAACATATATGCTGCAATTATATACAAAAAGCCTGGAACTGCTAAAACATCTAATCCCGAAACGCCCTCGGAGCTCAAGGAATTCGCCGCCACAGTGCAAGGTTCTCGAGTGATCTCCCGCCAAGCCACAAAGCCACAGATACCCGTGAAAGATTTTCTATTCTCCTTTAAAACAAAACACACACAAGACGGGCAGACAAAAGGCTTTTGATATAAGTAGGAGCTTGGCGGACGGGGCGGCGCTGGGAAGGATCAATCTGGGAGGCCCTCCCTCAGAAGGGAATTCCAGAGTGGCAGGAATCATCGTGGAAAATCACCGGCTTGATCTCGTTTGCGTAACAAGATGGGAAGGGGCAGGCAGGTGAAGGAAGGCCATAAGAATACACGAGACCTTACCCCTCCATCTCATGCAGAAGCACACCTCTGTCTTGGGCCGGACCCATTCTGTTGACTGTGTTCTGGTAATCTCTAGGCTAGATTACTGCAACACATTTTACGTGGGGCTGCCCTTGAGGACGGTTCGGAAACTTCAGCGGGTGCAGAATTCGGTTGCTCACCAGGGCACGATGGTTTGAGCATACAGTGTATCTCGGGTTAAGTACATAATTCGTTCCAGAGGTCCGGTCCATTCTTAACCTGAAACTGTTCTTAACCTGAAGCACCGCTTTAGCTAATGGGGCCTCCCGCTGCCACCGCGCCGCCGGAGCACGATTTCTGTTCTCATCCTGAAGCAAAGTTCTTAACCTGAAGCACTATTTCTGGGTTAGCGGAGTCTGTAACCTGAAGCGTATGTAACCTGAGGTACCACTGTATAACGTCGATCCTGGTCTGACTGCACTGGCTGCCAATTAGTTTCTGGGCCCAATTCAAAGTGCTGGTTTTGACCTATAAAGTCTTATGGGGCTCAGGACCCCAATACTAGGGCTGGCATATGAGATTTCAAAGGCAGAACTGACGTCCGTTGGGAATTTCTGGAAAGCGGTGCTTTTTGAAAGAAAAGCTCAACAACTTTGGGGGTTCCCTAAAAAAAGCTCAGCTATTGAAACACCCCACACAATGCTTCAAGGACTGCCTCTCCCCATATAAAACCAACCCAGACCCTCAAATCTTCTGAGGTCTTTCTTCGTGTGCCTTCTCCGCAAGAGGTCTGGAGGGCAACAACAGGGCCTTTTCTGCAGTGGCTCCCCACCTGTGGAATGCTTTTCCGAGGAAAGCGCACCTGATGCCTTCATTACTTAGGTGCCAGGGAAAAACATTCCTCTTCTCCCAAGCCTTTGGCGAACAATCTCTAGCCTTTTAAACTGTATTGTTTTCAATTGTTATTAGGACTTATATACTTTTGCGTTTTCATTTTGTAAACCGCCCACTGATTTTCGGATGAAGGGCAGTATAGAAATTTAATAAATAAAAAGCAAACTAAATTCAGAACCCTCTCTCAGATTTTGACCATGCTTGTTCAGAACCACTTTGGCCACACCCATTTAGAACTTCCCCTGTCTTTGGCCACACCCATTTAGAATTGCCCCTGTCTTTGGACACACCCATTTAGAACTTCCCCTGTCTTTGGCCACACCCATTTAGAACTTCCCCTGTCTTTGGCCACACCCATTTAGAACTTCCCCTGTCTTTGGCCACACCCATTCAGAACCATGTCTCCATCTCTAGCCTTTATGGCTTTACACATCAGGAGTAAAACCGCAATTTTGGCTCAATTAGTGACCAGTGAGTGGCCTGCTCCCTTAGGACTTGCTGAATTCGGTAGGGCTGACTTTTGAGTAAACACGCATGGAAATTGCACTGTGCAATCACTTAAGCCAGCTGGGTCGGACCCAAGACCTTGTTAACATGAAATTGCTGGTGGTAAACAGTCTTTCTCACAAACACAAACCCCGTCGCTTTCTTCCACAGAGCCATTGGATGAAAAGAATGCCAAATATTTGTTTGTGTGTGTGTGTCCCCCTCCAGCTCTGAAAAAGGGATAGTTAATAATAGGGCCTTTGACAACAAGAAGCGGTTCAATGCAAGCAGAAACGCTTCCTTTTTGCTCGGCCGGATTGGGCCCAGATAGTCAGGTGTATCCCAGAACCTGAGATTTCAGCTCCCAAACCTGAGATCTAGGGGCAGCCACTGGAGACACAAATGCAAAAAGATCAGAAAGCTTTCGCAATGGCTTTAAAAATAAATCCGTTGCAAATAAGAATATTTTATTTTAAAAACGGTCTGCAAACTGATGCTGGAAATGGTTCAAAAGAAACTTAAGAAAGGCTGGCGGGGAGGGGAATGCGAAGCCGAGATAAAGTGGAAGGTTCACCCAACTCTTTCTTAAAGGTAAAGGTAAAGGGACCCCTAACCATTAGGTCCAGTTGTGACCGACTCTGGGGTTGCGCGTTCATCTCGCTCTATAGGCCGAGGGAGCCGGCGTACAGCTTCCGGGTCATGTGGCCAGCATGACTAAGCCGCTTCTGGCAAACCAGAGCAGCGCACGGAAACGCCGTTTACCTTCCCACCAGAGCGGTACCTATTTATCTACTTGCACTTTGACGTGCTTTCGAACTGCTAGCTGGGCAGGAGCAGGGACTGAGCAACGGGAGCTCACCCCGTCGCAGGGATTCGAACCGCCAACCTTCTGATCAGCAAGTCCTAGGCTCTGTGGTTTAACCCACAGCGCCACCTGTGTCAACTCTTTATTAGAGAGATTTTTATACGGCCCTTTAAAGACTCGATAGATGAGTGAAACCTCCAGGTGCAGTGGCAGTCTATCTCTACAGCACTGGGGAACAGGGGGGGGGGAATACGACGAGGGAAGGGAGCTGCTTTCCTGCTTTGCTTGTGAGATTCTTGGAATCGTCCGGCTGACCATCACCCGAAGCCTCGCTCCGGGCTCAGCGAACACCAGCGATCCAGCAGTTCTTGGACTCTTATATAAGAATGCAAGTACTGTACACAAACGTCTCCACCTACTTTCTCAGGCTTGGATGGAAAAGTACTTGGGGCGGGGGGGGGGGAGAGGACGCACCCCCTCTCTCACACACATATTAAAATCAGCTGCTTTAGGCTTTCCAAAGCTCTGTGGAATGTCATTCTCTCCCCTATCAGGTTACTAACCTCTGGCGATCAGAGGATAGACAATGGTAACGAGAGCACACCATTTGACAAGGCGCTATAAAAAGGGGGCTTTTGAAAAAATAGAAAACTCAGTTGGCAGAGTGCATGATTCGCTCGCGAAAAGTTCGCAAGTTCTGTTCCCGGAATCTCCAGGTGACAACTCTCTGCCTGAAACCTTGGAGACAGTCAGTGTTGGTAATACTGAGTTCTAGGTAGGGCCTGATTCTCTGCAAAATAAAATTAAAAAGGCCATGTCCTCTCTCCCTAAAAGGGCAGCTCGGTTTGGGAAGATCTGCATGCGATACGACTACCTACATTACAAGACCGCCATCACCATTCATCTGCCACACTGAACTCCTTCCCCACATTTGTCTCTCTTTTTTAAGCATTCTCTGTCGTGGGTGGTCCGAAGCCAAAATTATTCAAAACGCAGAGGCACGAGGAACAAGCGGGTGGGGAGGACGGAAGGAAAGAAAGAAGAAAGTCTCATTGATTTAAATCAGAAAGATTTGACTCGCCCTCTGAAGCAACAGGACTTAATTTGTCCTGAGCCACCGCTGGATCGCACCCAAACTATTTCTAACCCACGATGTCATCGCAAGACATGCACGGAACCCGCTTCTCTCCTGGCCCCGCAACCCACTTTTAAAAACTTTGACATAAAATTAAAACAGTCCACAGTGGCAACCACCACCATTGCTGATGGGGAGAATTCGGCCCTGGATATCATTTCGGTCTGACTCCTCAGAAGACTGTGCCTCTGAGCATCTGCAGAGTGCTCTCCCCAACTGCAAAACAAACCACAATCACCCTGCGCTTTCTCAACCACAGGGTTGACCTCAGCCACCTTTTCCTTGCCCCAAATTTAAATCAAGCGGGTAAATAAATAAAACCACAATTGATTTTTTTCTTTTTTCTTTTTTTGCTTAGTTAAAAGTGCACTAACCTGCTGGCCATCGGTCTGGAGTGAAGAGCTGAGTTCAGAAAAACAGCAGAGGCAGGTAACGTCTTGGCTGTAGGATGGACAGATGGACGCCTGTCTTTTTAAATGTGCAGGTGATCTAGCGGAAGGAACATAGAGGGATGAAGAGGAAGAGTCAAAATTTTGAGGAAGCAGAAGGCGAAAAATTCAGGAAGGCTGTCAAGAGAGGACTAGCGTGTCTCCAAGGTGGGAAGAGACACAAGCTTAGATTTTGAAAGGGGGCCAGGAAAGGAAAGTTAAGCTCAGACAAGGATGTCTACACTGAAGTGGGAGAACAGGGAAATGGACATTTCGGTCGATAGCTCCAGACCTAGACGAGTGGCAGAGAGAATAACAGATTGGCTCCGTAGGAATTACCAACACCACAGAGCAAATTTTAGGATTAAAGACCCCAGGGATCCTGGTCTAGGGAGTGTCAAATCAGTCCCATTTCGCTCATTTCGCCAGTCTTAAATTCCGCATTCCAATCCTTGTGAAAAACTCGCCACTGCTTGAGTGAGGATTTCTCCTGAGACACGCATTTCTGCATGCAGTTTTGTTTCACAAGCAAATTCCCCTAATGTTTCCATCTGTATGGCATCTTCACAGACGCATGCATTTTTTGGGATGCACAAGTGCGTTGTTCCATGGGAAAAACCGCGTCTTTTGAAATTTGCAGGAGTGCAAATTTCAAAGGCTAACCGGGTTTTGAGAAGCGCGGACTGGGTAGCTCCTCGTCGGAATGCAAACGGAATTTAATTGCCATCCCCAGGGCTGCAGTCCTACTCAGAACAGCCCCGGACAGGAGCGCATTTGACGGCAGTCCGGCTTAGCGAACTGGTAGAGCGATGGGCAGAGAATCGGAGCCGTCCAGTGAGGGATGGCTAAAGGATAAAAGAGTTGGATGCGTGGATGGAAGAGCAAGTCAAGCAGAGCGTTTGAGTGACAGGCAGGCGGAATTTAGAAATGCGATATGGGGGCAAGCGGGGAAATGTGGGCAGAGGACTTTGGAGCAGATAGATAGGTGCCCGTAGCACGAAGGGAGGGAGATACAGATACAGAGATTTGGCGAGATCAGTTTAGAATGTGGACTTCAAGGTCCGATATACCTCCCTCCCTTTCTTTCTTCAGAGGGTTATATAGTCACACAATTATCACGTCAAACTTCCCACCTGCCCTTCCTCGTCGCAACAATAACGTGAGTTTCGTAAAGAGCAGCTTTAAAAACAAAACTCTGTCTCTCAGGCGGCAGCTAGGAAAAACAGTGTGAAGGCTTCATGAAGGTATATTGCGCCCCACCCCAACCGAAATACCAGCTCAGAATAATACTGACTTGACAACTTTCCTGAATGCAAGTAAACGGAAGGGGGATGTCAGTGAGGAGGGAAGTTCCATTTCTTTACAGTGGTACCTCGGGTTACAGACGCTTCAGGTTACAGACGCTTCAGGTTACAGACTCCGCTAACCCAGAAATAGTACCTTGAGTTAAGAACTTTGCTTCAGGATGAGAACAGAAATCGTGCGGTGACAGTGGGAAGCCCCATTAGCTAAAGTGGTGCTTCAGATTAAGAACAGTTTCAGGTTAAGAACAGACCTCCGGAACGAATTAAGTATGTAACCAGAGGTACCCCTGTACTTCCAAAGTTAAGACTTTTTTGGGAGGTGGGGAATGTCTGCAGTGTCCCCTGCCTTGAAGTCTTCCTATGATAGCACCCCGGGATAAAGCTGCAGAGGCAAGCGAAACAAAAGACTCACCTGAGCCCCTGGAAGCAGGTGGAAGTTCTCCTGGTGTAGCTCTCCTGCCTTCCCCAACCTGATGGATTTCTCTCTCTCTCTGTTTCTCTCTCCAGAGGGAGTGGGGCAGTGGTGTCTTATCCAAGTCTGTTGTTGCTGCCGCTCCTCCTCTTCCAGCCTCTTCCAGGACGGAGCGCGTGGCCGGGCTGCAGATTTTTGGGGGGACCCCAAGAAGGGCTTGCAAAGAGAGATTTCCCCCTCCCCACTTTCCGCCTCCCTCCTGGACTCTCTGCACCTCTGTTGGTGGTCCCGGGCAGTCTTGTTTTCCCGGGGAAGCGGGAGGAAAACTTGGGGGCTGAGATGGCAGGCAGAGAGGTCGGACTGGACGCAGAGACTGTTTCTTCTCCGCGTTTTCTGCCCCCCTCCTTCTCCTGCTCGGTCACTTCGCCCCCAAGCCGCCCCCCTCCCTGACTTGCCTCTGGCCCCTTCCCCTTTTCAGATGCATCGATCCTTCACTCTTCCTCTCCCTTCCTCGCTCTGGCAACACCTCCCTCCCTCCCTCCCACCACGCCCCCCCAATCCAGTAGCTCCACCCCTTTCTCTGCTCCTGGCCGGCCCTCCTCCCTCCCTCCCCCTTGCCAGGCTAATATATAGCCCAGAGGTGGTGCTGAGGATGGGGGGGGGAGAGAAAGGAACCCCCCCCTCCCCACCATCAGAAACAGAAAGTAAAAGGAATGGGTGTTGAATGGAACAACTTCAGGATAAAAACTCTAATTGGAATCTGGCTGGAAGGGAACAGCTGGGTGATGGCTCAGAAGCACTGCTAGATTCGCATCCCATAATGATTGCTTGTAAATGGTTAAGCAGGGGCTGGGATTCAGCTTAACGCTTTTTTAAAAAACCATTGCAAATAGTTTTTTAAAAACCATTGGTTGTTTTCCATCCCATCCCACAACGATTGCCTGTAAGCACTTAAGTTGAATAGGGGTTGGGATTCGGTTTAATAGTCTGAAAACCATCGAGGACAGCTTTTAAAGCCATTGCTTGGAGTTCCTGCTCAGAGTAGGCCCATTGAAGTGAATGGATGTGGCTAAATTGTTGTATGGTTCAGTAGGTCTGTGATCCTGTTTAAATCAGCCCATTAAATCAGAATACAGTGGTACCTCGGGTTACAGACGCTTCAGGTTACATACGCTTCAGGTTACAGACTCCACTAACCCAGAAATGGTGCTTCAGGTTAGGAACTTTGCTTCAGGATGAGAACAGAAATTGTGCTCCGGCGGCGCGGCAGCAGCAGGAGGCCCTGTTAGCTAAAGTGGTGCTTCAGGTTAAGAACAGTTTCAGGTTAAGAACGGACCTCCAGAATGAATTAAGTATGTAACCAGAGGTACCACTGTAATGAGGACTGGAACCTTAATTGTAAAAAGGCCAAAGCTCAGATGGTTGAACACCTGCTTTGTATGCAGAAGGTCCTGGGTTCAGTTCCTCCGACAACTCCAGGTAAGGCCTGAAAGCCTGGAGAGCTTCTGCTGGTGTTGGGTGTAGACAATACTGAACTAGATGGACTTGTCAGAGATGCAGCCCATTGACATCAATGGAGTAAAGTGAAGACGTGCCCATGAATTTCATTGGGTCTCCTTTGACTAGCACCAGCATTGGCTACAAGCCCGTCCAAATTATCATTTCCACAGATTCCTCCCTCCCCCAAGATTCGTTTGGGCATAATTGCACTATCGGTTTCTGCAGATGGGTTTAACACCAATCTTTCCAAACAGATTGTAGTCTCTCAGGACTTGTTTGCCAATCGCCTTCTCTCCCACTGGGGCAAATTAATAACCTCATTGTCATCAAGGGTGAAACCCAGGGCTGCATTCACACTACCCATTTAATGCAAAAATAACATAAGAAATCGGTCTTTGGAACTCCCTGCCTATTGATGTCCAGCAGGCACCTTCATTGTGCACTGAAAACATTTTTGTTCAGGCAAGCCTTTACAGCCATGTGTTATATTCAGGTTTTAGCTTAATAGTTGCTGTCAACTGTTTTTTTTTATGGATAATTTCATTGTTTTGTTTTGTTTTGAACTGCTTTGAGGTTTTGGTTTCCTTTCAATCAATTGGTACACAAATTTTGTGAAATAAAACAGAGTACACCTCGCCTTCTAAAGAATCCTGGGAACGTTTTTTGTTGTTGTGGGGCTTGGAAGCTGTAGCTCTGTGAGGGGAGGGTGTGTGTGCTTTAAATGTATGGCCCATGTGCATTCCTTGCTGGAGGAGACTCTAGACAGTCCCATGGACTGCAAGAAGATCCAACCTCTCCATTCTGAAGGAAATCAGCCCTGAGTGCTCACTGGAAGGACAGATCCTGAAGCTGAGGCTCCAATACTTTGGCCACCTCATGAGAAGAGAAGTCTCCCTGGAAAAGACCCTGATGCTGGGAAAGATGGAGGGCGCAAGGAGAAGGGGACGACAGAGGACGAGATGGTGGGACAGTGTTCTCGAAGCTACCAGCATGAGTTTGACTAAACTGCGGGAGGCAGTGGAAGACAGGAGTGCCTGGCATGCTCTGGTCCAGGGGGTCACAAAGAGGCGGACACGACTAAACAACAAATGTGCATTCCTGCGTATTTATTATTTGGAATGTGACAGTAAAACCTGGAGCGAAATTGATATGCCTTTTAAGGGGAGTAACAAAGTGTGTTCTCACTGCCCCAAAAGCTCAGCATATTTGGGTCTGTGCCCCTCTGCATCATTCGGAAGAACGGCTCGTTTTAAAGGATGGAATTTGCCCCCGCAAGAAACGGCCACCAATTTAAGCAGCTTTAAAAGAGGATTAGGCCAATTCGGGGGGAATAAGACCATCAATGGCTAATAGTCACAATGGCTGCATGTTACCTCCAGGATTTGAGACGATATGCTTCTGGGTACCAGTCACTGAGGGTCACAAGCTGGGAGAGAAGGGGTGTTTCCCACTTGCTTGCAGGCTTCTCAGTGAGGTACCTGGTTGAGAACAGGATGCCCGGCTCAGTGGGTCACCTTTGGCCCTGATCCAGAAGCGTTCTTATGGTGATCCAGAAACTGCAAGGAGGGGGAAAAACAGAATTTGGGGGCTGCGTTCTCTGTATGCAGTCACGGGAGACAGGAAACACTACAGTGGTAATAGTACCTCGGGTTAAGAACTTTGCTTCAGGTTGAGAACAGAAATCGTGCTCTGGCGGTGCAGCGGCAGCAGAAGGCCCCATTAGCTAAAATGGTACCTCAGGTTAAGAACAGCTTCAGGTTAAGAACGGACCTCCAGAATGAATTAAATTCTTAACCCGAGGTACCACTGTATTTTCATCCTCAAAAGGTAGTAGTAGTAATAATAATAATAATAATAATAATAATAATAATAATAATAATTTATTTGTACCCTGCCCATCTGGCTGGGTTTCCCCAACCACTCTGGGCGGCTCCCAACAGATATAAAACCATGATAAAAACTTAAACATTAAAAACTTCCTGATACAGGGCTGCCTTCAGATGACTTCTAAAAGTTAGATAGTTGTTTATTTCCTTGACATCTGATTGGAGGGTGTTCCACAGGGCAGGCGCCACCACCGAGAAGGCCTTCTGCCTGGTTCCCTTTAACCTTGCTTCTCGCAGGGAGGGAACCGCCAGAAAGCCCTCGGCGCCAGACCTCAGTGTCCAGGCTGAACGATGGGGGTGGAGACACTCCTTCAGGTATACAGGACCGAGGCCGTTTAGGGCTTTCAAGGTCAGCACCAACACTTTGAATTGTGCTCGGAAACGTACTGGGAGCCAATGTTGGTCTTTCAGGACTGGTGTTATGTGGTCTCGGCGGCCGAGACCTCCTCCCTCATTAATTGCAACCTGACAAACACCAGTTACTCTGGGATTGGGGCAGGAAGGCTCTCTGTACATGCTCAGAGGTTCAGAAATTAGTTTGTGGAAATGGGTAAGAGGGAGGTCTTCTCCCCTGGAAAATGGACATCTAGAACGTGACCAAAATAATTAAATAATAATAATAATAATAATAATAATAATAATAATAATTATTATTATTATTATTATTATTATTATTATTATTAAAAATGTAGTTTTTGTGCCAGTTTGGGTGGGCTATGCATAATGCTAATTTAATAAAGGCCCACAGAAAATATGCCAAAAGGTTTCCCCTCCGCTGACATTCCCAATAAGACTGTTTTGCCACATTTACGGGATATGTCCAGCTTCAGAGCTCTCTTGGCAACTTCCCAGAGGAATTGTGACAGTCATGTGTGAAGGTTTTCACAAAGGAACAATAAGGGGGGGGGGGTTGGAATCTCATGAGCTCAGTGCAATTAATAAAGCACAGTAATGATAGATATATACACACACACAACACAAGCTGCTCCAAAAATTCCAATCTGTTTGCAGAGCGAAAGGAATGGTCGTTTTTAGAAGCAATGTAAGAGGGTTTTTTTAAAAAATCCAAAGAAAACATGAATTCCTTTAATATCACTGTAAGCCCCATGATTTGTACTGAATCCACACATATAGAGAGGGAGCAATTTCAGTGTGCTTGCAAGCAAAGATTTTTAATTGCATTATTCCACGTAGGGATGTAATGAATCGATGAATCGGGACTGGACGTTTTGGCCAAAAATTAAGCTGCGGTCTCATATCCACTTTCCTGGTGCGAAGCCCCATTGAACTCCATGGGACTTACATCTGAGAAGGGTATGTATGAGATTGCACGATTATTGTTATTTTCAAAGGGGGCTTTCTGTCCCAGGCTAGGAACACCTAGAATCGCAGCCTAAGGCTTCTAATTTCGCAGCCCTAATTTCGTGAGAAGGGACGCGGGTGGCGCTGTGGGTAAAAGCCTCAGCGCCTAGGGCTTGCTGATCGAAAGGTCGGCGGTTCGAATCCCCGCGGCGGGGTGCGCTCCCGTTGCTCGGTTCCAGTGCCTGCCAACCTAGCAGTTCGAAAGCACCCCGGGTGCAAGTAGATAAATAGGGACCGCTTTCTAGCGGGAAGGTAAACGGCGTTTCCGTGTGCGGCTCTGGCTCGCTAGAGCAGCGATGTCACGCTGGCCCCGTGACCCGGAAGTGTCTCCGGACAGCGCTGGCCCCCGGCCTCTTGAGTGAGATGGGCGCACAACCTCATCGGTGAGATCGCACGGTTTCGCGGCGAATCTCTTGCTTTTAAATTCCCGTCTCTCTCACCACACACACACACACAGAGGTTTATGAATTCTGTCTGCCAAGACAAAATAGATGCAAAAGGGGGGAGGACAGGACATTCGAGAGCTGCACAGGAGAACTGAATATAATCTATTTACAGCCCGCTAGGCCAGTGTTTCCCAACCGGTGTTCCGCGGCACACTAGTGTGCCGCGAGACGTTGCCTGGTGTGCCGCGAGATGTTGCCTGGAGGGAGGCGGGCGAGTCGGGCGGCGAGAGGCGGGGCGGCGGCGGCGAGGAGAG